GCTGGGCCAGTGGCTCATACCTGTAATTTCAATACTTTGAGAAGTCAAGGAAGGAGGATTGCTTGAGCCCAGGAGTTAGAGACCATCCTGAGCCACATAGTAAGACCCCGTCTCTACAAAAAAAAAAAAATTAGGCCAGGCGCAGTGGCTCATGCCTGTAAACCCAGCACTTTGGGAGGCCGAGGCTGGCAGATCACAAGGTCAGGAGTTCGAGATCAGCCTGGTCAACAAGGTGAAACTCCATCTCTACTAAAGATACAAAAAATTAGCCAGGCATGGTGGCGCACACCTGTAATCCCAGCTACTTGGGAGACTGAGACAGGAGAATTGCTTGAACCTAGGAGGAAGAGGTTGCAGTGAGCTGAAATTACGGCACCATTGCACTCCGGCCTGGGCAACAGGGTGAGACTCCATCTTGAAAAAGAAAAAAAAATTAGCCAGGTGTGGTGGTGTGTGCCTGTAGTCCCAGTTACTTGGGAGGCGAGGTGGAAGGATCACTTGGGCGAGCCCTGGAGGTTGAGGCTGCAGTGAGCTATGATTGCATCATTGCGCTCCAGCCTGGGCACAGTGCGAGACTAGCTAAAAAAAAAACAAAACAGCTACCCAGGTGTGGTGATGGGAGCTTGTAGTCCCAGCTACTCAGGAAGCTGAGGTGGGCAGATCACTGAGCCTATGAGCCCAGGAGTTCAAAGATGCAGTGAGTTATGATCATGCCACCGCACTCTAGCCTGGTCAACAGAACGAGACTGTATCTCTAAAAAACAGAACACATATATACACACACACACACACACACACACACACGAAACATAACTTAGCATTATACATTATTTAGGGTACTTCATGTTGCCAAATTATGAGTTCCTTGGGCCAAGCACAAAGTAACAGAAAAACAGGGGACTTGGCCAGGTGCAGGGGCTCACGCCTGTGATCCTAACACTTTAGGAGGCCGAGGCACGTGGATTATCTGAGATCAGATAATCCTGAGGTCAGGAGTTCGAGGCCAGCCTGGTCAACATGGCAAAACCCAGTCTCTACTAAAAATACAAAAATTAACCAGGCATGGTGGCAGCGGGCGCTTTTAATCCCAGCTACTCAGGAGGCTGAGGCAGAAGAACCGCATGAACCCAGGGATCGGAGGTTGCAATGAGCCGAGATCACGCCACTTCACTCCAGCCCGGGCAATAGACTGAGACTCTGTCTCAAAAAAAAAAGAATTCCCCCTACTGCAACCCTACTGTCCTCTCCCAAGCTTCCTCTTACATGCTACTGCTGGAGATAGAAATAAGACTTCGGCCAGGCGCGGTGGCTCAAGCCTGTAATCCCAGCACTTTGGGAGGCTAAGACGGGTGGATCACGAGGTCAGGAGATCGAGACCATCCTGGCTAACACGGTGAAACCCCGTCTCTACTAAAAAATACAAAAAAACT